AGCCCTTGAAATCCTGACTGCAGTTCAAGGAGGCCCAAAATTAGATGGCTGGCTCCTAACAGACCCAATGGTTATATGGGGCTCTAACCTGTGTCCACAGCTTCCCCCAGGCTGGATAGGCCGCTGGACTCTGGGTTTTGCCTGGATGCACTGACGCATTATTAAAACCATTACCCACCCAGCCAACGTTGCAGATTTAAAATGATGGTGGACATGTTCTATGTCTCATTGGTATGACCACCTAGCATCCATCCCTCTTTGGGACTGGAGGATGTTGTTTGGCACTTGGAAGCTCTATGAATAATGAGTGCATGGTCAAAGCCCTAAGTAACACCCAAAGTAGCATTTCTCTATTAAATACTAAAGTAATACAAATGCGTGAAGCAGTTTTACAAAATAGAATGGCATTAGATGTTTTAAATGTCGCACAAAGTAGAGCTTGTGCTATCATAAAGACAGAATGCTGTGTATACATTCCAGATTACCACGAACATATTTCTGGGGGGGCGCCTGGGTGGCTCAGTTGGTTAAGCGACTGCCTTCGGCTCAGGTCATGATCCTGGAGTCCCAGGATCGAGTCCCCCATCGGGCTCCCTGCTCGGCAGGGGGTCTGCTTCTCTCTTTGACCCTCCTCCCTCTCATGCTCTCTCTATCTCATTCTCTCTCTCAAATAAATAAATAAAATCTTAAAAAAAAAAAATAAACTACTGGACTGGAGGAAAATTATCAAAGGTCAACTATCAAAGGTCTTTCTCCCTCAAATAAATAAATAAAATCTTAAAAAAAAAAAATAAACTCCTGGACTGGAGGAAAATTATCAAAGGTCAACTATCAAAGATCTTTTAGTCAAATTTCTCTTTCTCATTATAACATTAACCTTATTTTGTTGTCATTTCTGGTGTCTCTCTGCCCAGTGCCAAGACTCCTTCGCTACCATAGCATCCAGGCCACAGACAATGTTTCTACTAAAGGAGCTTCATATATGTTGTCCACGTTGGATTCAGCTGCCTCCCCCTTTAGTAACTCCCCTATATGTTCCCCAACGGACCGATATGGACCCACAGGTAGGAACATTTCTATACCCCTATTCAGCAGGAAGAAGTTACATATGAGACCATCCACATTCAAAACTTAAAGACTGAAGGGTCAAAATTGTTCAAGGGGGGGAAATGATGAGGGTGCAGACAGCTAGCTGAGGACAAAGCACTGACACCCCACAAAGCCCTCCCCCCGCTACTCCTGGGTGAGATCTGTGTGACATTCCTCCAGGAAGCTATGAGCTGTCTTAATGTGAATGCCTTGCAAGAGGGAAAACCAACCTTAACTTGACAACAGCTAGGCCTCCAGTATCCTGAGGGTCTTCCTTAGCATTTGAAAGTTCTCTTAAAAACCTCCCTTTTCCTCACCTCCCCCAACACCCAAGTATATAATCAGCTGCCCCTCACAACTCCTGGGCTGCAGCTCTTTCTGCCCACTGGTCCTGTCCCCGTGCTTTAATAAAACCACCATTTTGCACCAAAGACATCTCAAGAATTCTTTCTTGGTCCTCGACTCCGGACATCACCCCACCAAACCTGACCTACATTCCAAAATTACATCACAAAGACTGTCTCTACCAGGCCTGGAAAGAGCCAAACCGCATCAGAGACAATACATCTCTCATCGCTGCTTCAAAAGTAAGCGAAGTCCTGCATTCCTTCCCCGAGATAAGAGCCCAAAACCCCAAGCAGTGGATCCCGGCTCTCAGAGCAGGCCCTTCGCCTCTTCCCCACTCCCAACAGTCACCTCTGCGGGATTAAAATGTGAAGTCTCAGCCCCCCAGAGGAGCACTGGCTTCATTACCCTCACCTTGGATGCAGGTGTTCTAGGAATGCTTTCTAACGACTCTGGGCAACCTTACGCTCGCTTTTACAGGCAATGCCCAAGCTCCCCTCTGAATATTCATCCTAACCCTGAATGAAAGAAGCCCATCACACCCGGCAGGGGAGCAGCGCATTTGAAGTTACTCCCTGAGGTCTCCTCATCTGCTGCAAGTCAAGTTTCCTTCGTGGGACAACTCACCTGGTTAGTCTCTACCTGTAACTGACCAAGGAGCAGGCTCCCGTTAGGTTGCACACCCGCCCGAATCCCAGCCTCCCCCTCCCCCCTCGTCGCTGCCTCCCTCCCCAGTCCCACCCGCCGAGGACGCAGGTGCGGACCCATGGGCATGGGGAGGCCCCCTACCGCGGCCGCTTCCACTTCGTTCTGGCGGGTTCGATCCACCCCTCCGGCCCCCGCGCTCACCATCTCGGGGCCCCGCTCCCGGATCTCCGGGCGTCCTCCCCGCCGCGTTCAGCCACACCCGGGCTGCTCGGGACTGGAGCGCGGCAGCCGGCACCGGCTGAGCGCCGCACCTACCAGGCTACCAGGGCCCTCCCTCGGGCCTGATTGGATGGTATACAGGCCCCGCGCCCCGATTGGGCGATGTTTCAGGTTCTGAGACCTGATTGGATGGGGTTTCGGCGTTAACTCCCCGTGGTCCTGATTGGGCGTTTCTCCGGGACACCGCGCTCCCCGCACCGTGATAGGACGGCCTGTGGCCCTTCACGTTCTGATTGGATGGTAATCCCGGCAGCGCTCCTGTGGTCCCCGATTGGGCAGATCTCCCAGGCCCCGCCTCCTGGGTCCTGACTGACAGGCTGGCGCGACCCGCGTGTCTCATCTGCCTGCCGGGAGTTCGGCTCCCAACAGAATGGACTCCTGGCCGGCCGACCCGCCTGCGTCCTCCTTCTGTCCCGGGAATCTGACTCAGTTTCTCCGCGGAGCCTCCCGTGTGCGGCGCCCCATCAGGATGTGACAGAGCAGAGGGGCCCGGTGATCCTTATGTCCGTGGTGGCCACGGGGGCGAGGGACAGTGCACCTGTTCCGTGTTTAAGCACATCTCAAGAACCGGTGACGTCATCGCAGGGAAGATGAGGTCTCGCTGGGTTTTGACCTGACCCTTTGACACCGCGAGGCCCCGCCCTCCATCACACCCAGACTTCTCTGGGTCCTGCATGTGTCCCTACTTCATTCCTTTTTTGTGGCTGAGTAATACTCGGTCCTGTGTATATGCTGCCCTGTTCATCCATCCAAGCTGGTGGACAGTTGAGAAATTTCCCTCTTTTGCAGGTGTTGAATAGTTTTGCACCTCGCATTCATGTACGCATATCTGTTTCAGTTTAGGTAGGACTGGGATACTTGGGTCACATTGTAATTCTGGGTTTAACTTATTGAGGAACCACCATACTTCTTCCACATCAGCTGCTGGAGTGTAATTCCGATCACCCATGCACAAGCGTCCCAATTTCCCCACATTCTCACTGATGCTTGTTTTCTGAATTCTGGATTCTAGCCATCCTGAGTGGGAAGTGGTATCTCATTGCGGTTTTGACTTGCATTTCCCTTGTTAGTGACGTTGAGAATCTTTGAACGTGTTTATTAGACATCTCTGTGTCATCTTAAAAGTAATATCTATACGTTTTGCTCAGTACTTAACTGGGTCGTTTGAGTTTTTGTTATTCAGATAGGAGTTCTTTGTGTATTCTGGATAATAAAATCTTATCACATATGTGATTTAGAAATATGTTCTCTCATTTTCTGAGTGTCCTTTCACTTTTTTTTTTTTTAAAGATTTATTATTTTTAGAGAGAGAGAGCGAGACCATGTGGGGGGTAGGGGCAGAGGGAAAGGATCTCAGGCAGACTGCCCACTGAGTGCAGAGCCCACCTCAGGGATTGAACATATTTCCCAGAATTCCTGTCTGATGATTCTAGGTGATAATTCAGCAGTAGTCTAACTTGCATGAGTATTGAGAGTACAAATAAAGATGCCCTAGTCTAGGGTTGGGGTCACCATACAGATGGACCGATGCATAGGGGCTTGTTTGGCAACAGATTGCAGCCCATTGTTCTAAAGAGTAGCCTGTCAATCAGGCATGTACCCAAACCAAACACCATTCTTTTCCCTTCTATTTTCTTAGCGGTCCTGACTTCTACTTCATCTCCACGATCTCCCCGATCCTGGATCAGATTCTATGGTCAGAAGTCCACAGCTCTGGGTTTTCCACCCAGCCCCACTGTGGCCACTAGGCCACCAATTTAGGCCATCACACTTTTGGATTTTCTCTGGGAACTCAACTGCCTCAATGTGAACACTTTGCCAAGGACAAAAGGCAACCTTAGCTTAACATTAGCCCAACCTCCAGGATCCTGCATGTCTCCTTTAATATACAAAAATTCCTTAGGAAACTTCCTTTATTTCTAACCCCCTTCCCCAAGATACATGTGGGCAATCATCCTCCAGTGTATGGCCCACTGATATACACCTGAAATATCTCTTAAGGTTTTACTAGACAGTAATAAATGACCTTTTCCTAACCACAGCTAGCCCCTCAAGGTCCTGGGAACCTTGATGATGATAAATTCCTTAGACATTTATGCTATCCCTAAGCCCCTTCCAACTTGAAAGTATATAATCAAGCACTCCTCACAACCCTAGTGCTCTTTCTGCCCACAGCTCCTATCACCATGCTTAATAAAACCACACTCTTTGCACCAAAGACATCTCAAGAATTCTTTCTTGGGGCGCCTGGGTGGCTATATTGGTCAAGCATCTGCCTTTGGCTCAGGTCGTGATCCCAGAGTTCTGGGATTGAGCCCCTCTTCGGGCTCCCTGTTTGTGGGAAGCCTGCTTCTCCCTCTCCTCCCTGTTCATGCTCTCTCTCTCTCTCAAATAAATAAAATCTTTTTAAAAAAAATTCTTTCTTGACCATTAGCTTCCAGATCCCAACATTTCACATCATTTGGGCACTGAAATATGGAGCTTGAGTCTTCTCACCTGGACTCCAAGCCTCAGTACAAACTTGGTAATTTCTCTACTCTTCCTTTATGTCCATGTCATCAAATTTTCAAGAAGTATGGTCCTTTGGGAAAACATTCATGTCGATCGGTCAGGATGCAATCCTCTAGCCCATGGCTACTGTTCGGGGAGGAGGAAGCCTACCCCTTGGCTGGAAGTTAGTACCATGGGTGGAATAGTAATAAGACCCAGAAACTTGATGCCCTGTCTTTATTCCTGTCCTTATACAAAGTTGTCTGTCTTGGGCACGGGACAGCCACCTAAGTCACCAGGAGAGTTGCCAATCTTAAGACTCCCACGTAAGGTTTCATCATTGGTCTAATGTGATCCCCTTCACATCCCTGGTCTAGCTGCTTCTGTCTACAAGAACTTTGCCCAGAGCCAACCAAAACCAATAACTGATTGAATTAAAACCCAACCAGAGAGGTTTCCTAGGAAAGTTGGCTGTAAAAGACTACCTGTGTTGGAAGGTTGCTTAGTCCATGATGGATTTGTGTCTTTTGTTTTCTGGCAATGGCCCCTACTACTTAAATTATAACTTTAGGTAATTTCCCCTTGTAAAACTTTTGTAGTGTTTTCCATGGGTTACAAATGGTGGGTTCTTCATGGCACAGCACAGTATTACAGTCCATTCACCGGCTACAATGTGATGGGGAAGTGGAGGGACACTAGCATCCCTCCTACAGGGCCTTTATACCAGGGCGCTGATCATAGCAATTTCATTTGAGGAAGGCTTCTGGTCACTTTGACACCAGGAATTTCTCACATATCCTGTGTGGCACCCCACCCGAGAGTTGGGGGGGTGGGTAGTTTTGGTAATGGACCTCTGTACTTTTCTATGAAAATGGGATCTTTTTTAGTTCCCAAGATCTCTCCCTGGAAACAATTCAGAGTGCAAAATTTAGGAAAAGACTGATCTCCTGTTATACTGCATGGCCTCAGTATGATCTATCAGTTGGATCTCTTCTGCAGGAAACAGGGCAATCAGAGGAGGTACGCAATGTCCAGGCCCTCTACCACTAAAACAGGACCCTGACCTAAAGGCCTCTTGTGGAATGTGTTTGATTATTAACCAGGTTAATAAACTCCCTCCTGACATATTAGATAATAATTACCTAAATAAGCTTCCTCCTGATAGATCCAGGTGGCTGAAGAAACACCATCCCTACGGAGGGGCATGCTGACACTCTCACTGTTCCTCTTCCTAATAGATGTGGGGGCTTCTCCCTCATTCATTTCCCAGGTTAATGGCTACAATTTGAGCCACCTGTGGTTAGTCTACCTCAGGACGGTGACTTTGAGGAATATTCCCAACCAGCTACCAAAACTCCCTTCGTTTCAAGGAAGCTCCCTGTCTTCTCCAGTCCAACATGGACTGCATTATTTCCACATTGGTGGAAAAACATGGTGTCTGGTCATCTGTCTGAGCTGATGATGTTTAGAACCGGCAACCTCATTCTCTGCCCTCTGGCAGCACTTCACCTCTTCTGCCCCCCCACCCCCATTTATATACCAGCTTGTGTATGGGCCACATAACTGGTTCCCATACCATGCTCAGCGCCTCCAGCACCATTGGCTCCTACTTCTATCCTTGCTATCAAGAAGTGAAGAGCATCCCCTTGGACTTAACACCGCCCACTTCAGATTTCCCCACAGGTGCCCCAGCTAAAAACATTGACAATGGGGAACAAAGTGATTTTTAAGTGGGCCCAGGTGGAACATAATTCGGTATTGCAACTAAATTAACTATGTTGGTTTAATTAAGATAGACATGTCTTTAGAGTTATCAACATTAAATATGAAACTTTCATTCTACCAAGATTTACTGAAGGTCAAATAAGCTCATGATTTCTGTTGCAATTTGTTAGCCAAGAGATGACTTATGGGTACCTGGGTGGCTCGATTGTTTGAGCGACTGGCTCTTGATTTTGGCTTAGGTTATGATCTCAGGGTCCCAGGATGTCCCAGCATCAGGCTCCTTGCCCAGCGGGGGGGTCCGCTTTTCTCCCTCTCCTCCTGCCCCTCCCTGTGCATTCTCTCTCTCTCTCTCTCAAGTAAATACAGCTTAGGGCGCCTGGGTGGCTCAGTTGGTTAAGCGACTGCCTTCGGCTCAGGTCATGATCCTGGAGTCCCGGGATCGAGTCCCGCATCGGGCTCCCTGCTCAGCAGGGAGTCTGCTTCTCCCTCTGACCCTCCTCCCTCTCATGCTCTCTGTCTCTCATTCTCTCTCTTGCAAATAAATAAAATCTTAAAAAAAAATTAAAGTTTTGCTTGGATGATAAGTTGAATTTATTGGCCATCTAAGTCTTTTCCATATGAGATAAAATCCCAAAGCATTGATTACTGTAGATAGGTTTGTGCTTCCGGCTTCTTATTGCAGAGAAACGGAGGGTATTTGGGTCTGTTGGAAAACATGCTTTGTGCTTAAATGTTTCATAAATTTGCCATCTAAAGAACTCTAGTGTAACAGTTCACAATTGATTACTACTTCATTTCCCTTGG